TCTAGAGGGCTCACATCTCACATAATGTTACAGTATTTAAATGATCCATGTATATTACACATTTGAATTTAAATGTACCTAATCACGAGATGAAGCCCATCTTGAATTGAAGCCCCTCTTTAGTTTGTTAAATTAGCTCGAAAAAAGCCCATGGGCTTCTTTCCTAGATAGCATAGGCTTTTTTTTCGAGACAGTACATACACTGTAGGCCTACATGAATTTCATAAAACAAAATAAATTGAAAACAAGCTTGGTTTATACAGTAGTTTTGGTGATTTAATGCCAGTTAAATACACTCCATGATACAGATTGATGTTATGAACTTATTTATTGTTTCATACTATGAATTCACAAAACTTACAGCATTCATTTTAAAAAAGAAGTTACTTTTGCAAAATTAGCCTCGAGATGAAGCCCATATCGAAAAAAGAAGCCCATCCAAAGTTCGCAAAAAATAGAAGTCAGGACTTCAAATTGAGGTTTTACGGTATTAACGTACGTACAATAGTTAAACATTCAGCGCTTATCGGGAAAGAAAGGCGCTTTACAATGTTCTGATTGGATTGGATTGGAACATTGCTTTAACAGTAAAACTTTACCAGCTGGGGCGAATGCAGGATTTGGTGGTAGGGGAAGCGTGAGAGTCCACACGACCACAGTCCACCATGGATGGGACTGAGGTGCGAACATTTTGAGAATATTGACCTCTATGTGCCCGGAAATTGCACTCACATAGGCCTACCTTTTAAAATTGTACAGGTACCATGTACATCAACAATACAATTAAAAAAAATGTTTCTTAACACAATTTGGAGGGGGTGGGGTGGTGAGATCGCATCGTTGCAGCCCCTACGTCCGCCACAAATTATTACGGCCCTTCCATTATTATAAAGAATAGTAATACATTACCAGAATAGAATGATTCTTTCACGATTTAAACAGTGGCCTACTAATTCTTCTTATCATGAACTTTTAGCGCTATCACAGATGGAAGTTTCAAATTCAATGCTCAAAACATAGTTTAACATTTGATATCTGTATGCTGTGCACATATTCGGTACTGAAAGGTTTTGGACACGTAACCGAAAAATAAATGATCTAAATAGGCCTATGCCACTTGTGACACACATCCATCCATTAACATGTTCACAAAAAATGTCGGCGAATCGTCCTGTCGGTAAACTCGGCGTGTGGTGTCGAAAAAATCTCGTGTCGACGAATGGTATTTCGGTCAATAGTCTGTAGGCCAAATGTCTGTCAGTGAATCATGATAGGCCTATCATCTAAATATATGCCACTACACTGAAAATAGTATGAAGTCAATTGACAAATTATAATTTGTCATACACATGGTCTAGTTAGACAAATTACAAATTACAAAAGAATTGTCATGCATTTTGAATGACAAAGTATAATTTGTCATGCAAATAATAATAATTTGTCAAGCAAATAATAATAATTTGTCATGCATTCATGGAATGACAAATTATAATTTGTCATGAAAAGTGGTTTAATTGGAAAAATTTCTGAAAAAAAATTGTCCTGCAAAAAAATTGTTTTGTCATACATAAAAATTGATTTGTCGTGCAAAAAAATTAATTTGTCATTTGTCACCATGCTGAAAAGAACTTGAGATGAAAAAATGCAGTCAGGTTTTGTTAAAATAAGAGTCTGAATCATAGTTTAACATTTAAATTTAACTTTAATTTTCATTCAACTACACTTATATAATATATTGTCTTGTATTAATATTCAAAATGTTTTATTTATTGCTGTTCTCTAATTAAAGGTGATTGAATAAGGACAAGATCAGTAAATTTGATTTGTACTCATTACAAGCCCAGTAGTGGACCTCTAAATTTACATTAGTGGGATGTATTAGGTTTACATGTTATGTTCCACACTCATACACAAATGTATACATGTACAAGAAACCAATAATGAATAATTTTTTAGAGAAGTTATTACATTTTGTCAGAATCATACACTTCAAACAGTAACGATTTATGGACAGCTTTCGCATATTAAAAACAAATCTCCAATTTATGTTAACAATGTATGAAGTCAATCACTGAACAAGTTTAAACAAAGAATAATCTCCAAGAATGAAAGTAAACTGGGACAAGACCAGTAAATAATAACAAACGGACCAAACAACAACGTATATTTTTCTTTTGTTTCTGTACAATGAAGCCAACATTTTACGGACAAACAGTTTACCAGTTGTGAATTATAGATCAATTATGTCATCACCGAACAAATCGTCGCTCACATCACGAACTAACACAATACGCGATTTGAGCAAAATTTCCATTTCGAGAAAATCGTTTTTGAAGTAATCTGCACGAAAAGAATTTGAATTCTGACCATAAAAGCTTAAATCGGGGCTAAGTTTAACATACGTTGAACTCAAAAGGTTGAAGGTTATGATTTGTATTGAAAATATTAATGACTTTATTTTAATTAGCTGATAATTAACTTAAAACTATTGTGTTACTTCGTGAAAACACAAATTTGCAACATGCGTATGTAGTGATGCTTTTACGTACTCTGTGTTACTTCGTGAAAACAAAATTTGCAATACTCGCACGAAGTGTGATGGGTTTGCATATAATACAAGTATAATTATATTGGAAAGATACATTTTTTGTATTTATCACTTAGGATAATTAGTAAATTGTGAATACAATGTTTTGGTGTAGGCTGAATGTAGTATTATAAACGTGAATAGTAAATCAATCTCCATGATCAACGTCCTCATCATCAACGGCATCGTCATCTCTATAATAATAATAATAATAATAATAATAATAATAATAATAATAATAATAATAATAATAATTAATAATAAAATTATTTGTTTCTTATCAGCAAAATAAATGGCTTTCGATTTCATAAAACATGTATCTATGAGGACCCAAATAGCAACATACCAAAAAATAGACAGACATGTATATCATTTCTTGTATTTAATATTAAATTTATAATACAAATCTGAAAGTCCATGTTTTTGACATTTACATTTAAAAAAAAATTATGAAAACGCTAAATCCATTTATCAATATAAGACAATTTAATTTTATTTAGAATTATCATAAATAAATATTAAGGGTAATTTAATCTATATTGAATTATATTTTCAAAACTTTTACAAAACAATAGGAAAATATCCATTTCATCAATAATTATAATAATTTAATTATTGTGTAAAAAATGATAATCCAATTCAGCTTTAATGAAGCGTAGGGATATCTTCTCATACTTCCTAAGCAAACAAATTGGCAGGTCTTCCGAACTAAAATCCTTAGTGATGGAACCAAACGGACGCAAATTGATGAAAAATACAACACATTTTAAGAAAAGAACTAAGGATTTAATTGTAAACATGTTTCGGGTGTTCTCTCTCACCCATCATCAGTACAAACTGAAAGGCGAAATAAACGGAAAGAAAAATCTTGTCATTCTTGAATAAGAGTATTTATACAAAGAATGAATGAATATTGATTAGTGAAAACAAACTGTTACCAATTAAGGTAACGTAACGATCGTTCTAGATAATCATATGCAAGGTGTATAGAACACCTTGCATATATTAGAGCTGTATGATAATTGAGAAGTTGTAAGCTTAAATGTTTGAGTTGAACGTTGAGATTTAATTATTATAGAATATTTCATAATTCATTTCCACATTATAGGCTAATCATTAAAATATAGTTAAATATTGGTGGGTTTTTTTTCTGATTTCTAGAATCAATGTTTATATTATTCATAACTATAATATATATAAAATGGAATTTATTACATACAACTTGCTGTAATTAAAGATTGGGCTAAGGAACAGTAGAACCCCTCATTTGGGACAGCCCTATTCAGGGTACACACCTATTACGGGGACAGGGACACTTTCTGAGTGTGCCAAATGGTCAAATAAACCCTATTAAGGGGACACTTATTTTTTCTTTCTCAAAAAAAGAAAGTCATTAAACTTTATAAATCAAATCTCATGACAGTGTTATAACGACTATCTGAATCTAAATATTGTAGACAATAAACCAGAATTTTCTCCCCTGAACCTTAGTTTTAATATCAGTATAGGTCTACTGTGTTAATTTGTATAAACCAATCTTGTCTATTTTGACCCTTAACCATGGGGAAACATGGCAAAAACCCCCAATTAATGGGACACTTTTTAGGTCCAAAATGTGTTTCCTTAATAAGGGTTCTACTGTATTCAAATTTTGGTTAGCAAATACAATATTCCCTTGAATAATACTACATTGGTTAAAAACATTGTCTTAATTATAAACAGTTCATTTTCATTAACACATTAGTGTATTTTATAATAAAATTCACAGCAAGAATCTTGTACTATAAAGACAAACTATTTTTGAAAAACATCATTTTTAGAATCAGACAAAAACAGTAAGCGACTCTTAGACTACAGAAACACAACAGTAAGATGATTTGGTTACATCATTGGAACACCAAACTTGATTGAATCGTCAAAACTTTGCTTTATTATTATTATCATTATCATTAATACGCAATTATAATAGTTGTATATAATACACTAGTGGAAATTTATACAAAGGTTAGATTAATGCAAGAAAAAATTCTTGAGGGCCTGCAAGCCCCTAAGGATTTTTTTTAATGGAGTAATCCAACCTAAGTATAATGAATTTCCCCTAGTGTTTAGCACTATTCTAATTGCTTTAGTCAATCGCTGTGTTTTAATGTTAGTTCTTTAATCAAACAGTAGTAGTGTTTATACATAATATTGAAGTTCTACAGGTTCTAATATATCTTGTTTCAATTACCATTCGTTAACAAACGAATACTGGGTGGGTGGGTGTCTGTCCTTTCTTTCCACAGGCTTGCGTCATAATGGTTGATGTAAAAACACTAGCCTAGAATTAATCTTGGTGCACGATATATATATTTGAATTGGTTTAATGTACACAAACCTAAAAAAGATACAGTGCACTACACTTTTTTTTTTATATAAGAACCAGTACAATTTTGCCTAGGCTCAATGTTATTTTTTGGCCAATTTCAGGCTCAAATTGTTCTTATGTATACTGCTGTATAATAATAATATTCTATGTTTGAATAGTGTGTAAAAACACATGGTTCAAACATAGAAAATTATTATTATACAGCAGTATATTACTCTACTTTATAATGGAGGTACAGTATTATATATTCACAGCTACTACACATTGCAGATAGATTGGTTGGTTTTTCTAGTTTTTCTAAATAAAAACCTCATTTGACATTTTACTTCAGTCTCAATGTGTTATTAGTTTGTTCTTCAATTCGAGGTTTTATGTTATTCTTATTTGTTATCAATAATTTCAATGATTAAGCTGCCTATAAAAGGTTTGGTATTCTGGATGTGAAAGGACTGGAGTGGGTCCAGAACAGAAACTTTGTAAGTCCTGATACTTCGCTTCTGACAATCTTGGGTAACCTGCCTTGTACAGATTTTGGGGACTTTCAACATCAGAACTTTCTGACTGTCGACGCATGCTATTAGAAAGGTTGATTACTTCGTATTCCTTGTCTAGGTGTAAGTACTTAAATCTTACTCTTTGTGGTTCATTCTTTTTTACCTGAACTTGCATAAACTTAGTCCAGTCAATGTTTTTACTGGACTCAGCATAACGCACTCTAAGTATTCCTTTCTTTTGGCTTAATGTCTTCCAATCTTTTATATCGGCTGATTTTGTAGGAATTACAGTATATGGCTTTGGACGTTTTCTAGCCATGTTGATGATACTCACAACCTGAAATGGTAAAGCAATTTCCGACACTTGGTTGATTGCTCTTTCTATGGTACTATGAACTGAGTCTCCTTCAAACTGACCATGGTTAGTTTTGAAGAAATTGAGGGTAATCTCTTGGATAGATTTTGAGGATTCAATGAAATACATCATCATCGCTGGGATAACAGAATTTTTGTTCTGGCCAATGCATCCGTCCGAGATAAAATCCAAACGTTTTGCTTCTGTTAATTTCTTACAGTCAAGCTCTTTAAATTCACAGTAAGTTCACTTACTGTTTTCCATTGCACCTCTTTTTGCAGGCATCAGTTTGTTTGTTTTTTCTGTGGTATATGCTTCCCCCAGATTCCTTTTTTTCTTGACCAAAGCATTTCTACTTTTAATTTCTGTAATCTTCTGTGGGGAAAACTGCCTAGGCTCTCCATCAACTACATAATCAGCAGCCAGTCTACCTACATTACGATTCTCACATGCTTCTGGCATTGTTGCGGCTATGGAAGGAGGTTCATTTGCTTCACATGGCTCAGCGTTTAAGGGTGCGGTTGAGAGAACTGGGTATGTTACTTCTTCAGTCTCAGAAAATAGTGGAGGAATAGGCCCAGTTGACAGAAGCAAAGACATCATTTCCCCATCTACTTCATTAACATCATGAATTAAAGGTATAGTTGGTATAAATGAAAAATTGGCCTCTGGGGTAGGTGGTTGACTTGAAGGTGCTGGGAACATCACTTCATCACAGCATACATCAGAAGGAATAGTCAGTGATACCTCTGTTTCTTCTTCATTGGCAGTAGGGAATTTTGGTGTATTGGAAGTTGTGAAAAATTTGAATTGTGGTTATTACATTTATCTGATAATGTAAAATGATCATAACAGAGGAAGCATAAGCAAGTTGGACATGCTGCCCAAACCTCTTTCCTACAAGTGAAATTATCACAGGATGCTGGACGGTGCTCGTTTGAAGGTCTTTTTTTATAGCTCTGTGTGGACTGTTACGGCTTCCTGTAGTAGATCAAATAAAACTGTAATTTAAAAATAAAATATGATATACACTATTACAATGCAGACATTTGTGTATGAATATCTATTAAATGCATAACTCAGGAGCTTTAGATGTGCTTTACATACACTAAAAATATACAGTTAAATGTTACGTATATTTGTAAACATAAAAAAATGGAAAAACAGTCAAAATTAATACACCTTTACCAGAGTACGTAATTATAGCTCGGAAAAGGGAACTAGAAACACATTTATTTTTGCACAGATGAAATAATTAATATAAGAATCAAACTTTGTTTGTCTTTTGTGTAGACTTTTCAAATACCTTGGCGGAAACTTACCTTCATGTGTGTTACAGTATGTTGCAATGGGGACGTCGTCAGGTTCAGAGCCTGATGAACTGGATTCCGATTCAATTTCTATTATTATGCCGTTCCATTTCTCCTTTCCCCATAGCATTGACACCTTTGATCCTTTTTTCAGTTTTGACAGCGAAATCAAGTCTTTGGCTGAGACCACATTTTTTGACTTATCCTTGTCCCACTGTACAAGTACATCAATGTCTGAATTAAAACTAAAAAAGAAAATACAATTGCACATGTACAATCTTGGTGCACGATATATATGCAAGTACAGTAGTACATAAAACAGAGTGCTCCAATCACTGAATACAGCTAAAAAACTGTAATTGCCAAAAACAAAATTTACAAAATTTGTTGATAGGTATAACTACATCAATATTAAACATTGTACGTTTTAAAGCATTAAATAATTGTAACATCTCTCATAATATTGTACAGACATCTTTGTTTGTACTGTAATGAGTTTCGTATCTGCAAAGAGAGGTGCTATAACGGGAATAAATAAAATTCTATAAACATGCATGCAAACCCATGTGAAGGTCTGAGCATAATATATTGCTATTATTGTTGTTAAAATATAGTATGGCAAGTCATATACTAGAATTAAATTCTAATAAAACGTACCTGTTAAGAGAACGCAATTTTCTCATGGTAGATTTAGGAGACTGATCTTATAATTTATAGGCTGCCCTCTTTCTTGCTTCGTAGTCACCAACGAACTGAAATAGGAAATAAATAATAATAGGCCTAATTAATAGTAACAGTATATTTTTTTTTACTGCTATTCTATGTAGGTTTAGTAGTAAAGCAGTACTACTACTAGGGCGTACATAAGCGCAATAGGATCACTACTAGACGCATACACAATTCTCTTACTTACCTACTACTACTACTTGACCTACCTAAGTCTAGCCTAGGGCCTAGGCTTATATACTACTTGCTAGTCTAGGCCTCTAGGGTAGGTCTACTAACTAGGCCATAGCTGTCATCCCTGTTATCCTGCCTGGTTACTAGACCAACCAACTTGTATAACTGCACATTGAAAGATTATTATATTACACACTATTATATGAATGACGAACATTGGCCTTTATTACTACCTGCAAAGACAGCTAGGCTGCTCCAACGTCAAGCATGTTGTCGTCGGGTTGCAACAAGCTGCGCTTCAGCGTATGATACGCAGTGGTTTGCGCGGACTGAGCCCACTTCCTGGTATAAATGATACTTCGTGAAAACATCCAAATAGGGCTTTCGGTCAGGAACTGTTTTCACGAACAAGCTAAAATAGTTGTGTTTCTTCGTGGAAACACTAAAGTTAATTACTACATTTACATTAAATGTTGGTGTTAATCTAATTAAGAAACTAATTACATTTTCCTCATAATAATTAGTAAAATTGTAGATTTTGATGCGCACAATCGGAATATGGAAAAAAAAGTTGAAAATTTGACGATTTCGACTATTGTGTTAGTTCGTGGTGTGAACAACGAAATTATGATATAAAAATGCTTAAATTTTAAAGCAAAAAGCATATTATTATTCTTATTAAAACCATGCTGGAAAATAAGTATTGGTACCATTCTTTTCATTTTCAACACATAAAGCAGGTATTCATGTCTGCGAACAGGGATTACAGAATTATGTAAACACGAACACAGTGCTGTTCGATATAATTCTACTACAGTACAGTTGCAATCTGTGCCACTTTTTACAACACTGCCATGTCAACGTGAGGAGAGCTGGTTCGAAACCATGTTTCTTAAAATAGCTCACTGCAGGCGCCTTCATATTTAGATCATAATGTTAGGTACAATAATTTTACATTTTTGCAAGCCTGGTCATTTGAGCACTTCCAATCAAGTGTCGTATGCTAGTTTACCACACAAATAAGCGGGTCTAGCACTGTAACGGGAATAAACTAAGATTGTAATTCTCATCATAATTTTAAATTAGACTACAGTCCTATTTTTTTTAGCATGATATAAATGAAATATCATTTAAACATGTTATTAAATTTGAAAATATACAAGTGGTTTTTTTTTTCTTTTTATCATGATATAAATGAAATATCATTTAAACATGTTATTAAATTTGAAAATATACAAGTGTTTTTTTTTTCTTTTTAGCATGATATAAATGAAATATCATTTAAACATGTTATTAAATTTGAAAATATACAAGTGATTTTTTTTTAATTAACAAACTACAGTAAAACTTCTAGCAGCCTGCAAACATACAATCGTCACTGTAATACAATACAATAGATATACGTTTCAGTTTACACCTTAGTACAAAAGGGAGCGGGTGTGTAAAATGTAGGTTTTACTGTAATGTGCAATTCAATTTACCTAGGCTTGGCATAAATCAAGAGCCCAGCATAGAATAAGCAGTGAAAATGAGGTCTTTTCACTGCTTATTCAATTTTGTCAGCTTCATAGAAAGCCTTGACATTAGAGTAAGAACACTCTTTTCAATGGGGCACTGATCTCTAATCCCCAACAAAGCCACTTGAGAAAATTCTAGTGTTCTTTGGACACTGGCTACATACTGCAAATGAAAAATATAGTATGAGCTTAGGTACACAGCATATGCAGTGACCATATCGCACACCGTACATATCTTTGCTCCTTCGACAAACAAAGTGAAATTTTCTGACAGCAGTGGTGTCCTTGCATCTATTTCAAGATATACAGCTGGTTTACTGTTGTCACTATCACCCTAGATTTTTAAAAAATAGCTTTACTATAAACGCATTTTCAATCGTGCAACTAAACATATTACTGAAAATGCAAGTTAAACAGATATTTTCTGCTGCCATTGGATATTCAATGAGTATAATTACACATAGTATGACTCAGTTTTTAGGACCAGTAGTGGCCAAATTGGCTACTTATGGCAGTGCACCAACAATTTGTGTGACTTGACTCTCTCTTCGGAATGTAGCGGAAGAGTGGGCTATCTATGGTAGTGCACCAGTAATATTTTTGTGACATGCTAACAATGACCTAGGAAGTTAAGGTGTGAAATAGAAATATTAAAAAAACAAGTATTTGCACAAACTGCCAGGTTATATCAACCCGTCCATCGGTGATAGGAATCAGTGAGCTTAGCAGGTCTTAACCATGACAAAAGGGAGTTACAATTTATTTACTTGATTTTTTAAAATTCAGGCACAAAGGCTAGGGATTGCCAAGCGAATACATCAGTCTTTAAAAGTGGCAACCCCTTTTAAAAGACAAACATAAACACAAGGTGCTTGTGATGGGGCTTAGGAAGTAGACGGCAATGAGAAAAAAAATCCTGTTATTGACAGACATTGAACCAAGGACTCTGCTTTAGATGGTGCAACCAATAATCTATTTAACAGTACTTTATTATCATGAGCACAAGCGACGGAAAATATGAAATTTGTTTTTCATGATGGTACTTTTATGTCTACATTTTTCAAAAAATAATGTTAAAATGCAAAATTATGTTGACAAATTAACACTTTCTCAATGTCTTAAAATATCCATTATTTCATAATTAATAGTTATATAGCATAAAAGCCATCTGGTCTTAAAGGTTGATTTTGGAAAATTTTGCTCTGGTCCATTTATACTTTGGCACAGGGATTTGGATGTAAACAGGTTCAGGGAACTACACATTTTTCAATAACAGAATTGATGATTTTTTAATCATAAATTACCTTGTACATGAATACTTGATTGTCTTCTTTAAACAATGGTGGAATTGTTAGAATAGCAGCCTTTGCTACAGCATCTGCAAATTTTACAATTAAGTATTACAAACTTGTGAATAGGTTATTATTTAATGCACTAATGATAGGACAGATTGATAAAAATAACTATTAACTATGTTCTGCTAATTAAAATTTAGATGAAATCAACATTGGTTCAATGTGATTGATTCCTTCTTGAAATGGATCATGAGAACTACAGAGAATACCCTGAAAATGAGTTATGAGTTGAGACTACAAGAGCATCAAAAACCAGTTACATCTGAACATATTATAGCAAAGCCCCATCAAAAAATTGTGTTAATCTTCCCCACCCCCTGCCCCACTCATGTTCAAAAAGTTGTCTATACTCCTGGACTGCAGTACATTCATACCACTCAACGATGAAAGTACCTGAGAATACTTTTGTCAATTTAAACTTAAAAATGTATTGTCCGATGGAACCCAGAAAACCTTGAAAATAAAAATAACTTCTGAATTGCTTAAATTGTATATTTGGATGACTAACAATTACAATGTTAAGAAAATGAATAAAAAAAAATTATTTTAGTGGCATTTAAAAAAAAAAATATAACACACTTTGTTAATGTAATAAAGTACACAGAAAATTACAAACACTGGAAGAAGTGTTTCTAGAATTGTTTGGTCACTACCAGCCCACAATTCAGGGTAAACAATTTTAAAAATAGAATTCATATGGTCTCAAGTTCATGACATTTACTGTATGATACTTCATAATGGGCCCTAAGTTAAAGGGCAAGTGTGGGTTTAAAATAAGTCGTCATATATTGCTTATTTAACCTTTTTTAAGTTCGGAAAAAATACCAAAAAAATTCAAAAACGTTAGATGTAACGACAATTACGGAAACAAAATATGATATGACGAGAAATCAGGTGGAAACGAGGCTGATCACTTTTTTCAGTAGCTTGGTAGCAATTTTCTAACCAACTCATTAATATTCATGACCAGTCTGTCAATTTTGGCGAGCAGCTGATCGAGGAATCGTCCCGACGATGATCGAGCGACCAGCAGCCTCGACAATATACATACATACAGTTAGTGAGAAGTCGTGAGTTTTTGTGATCGTTTACGTACGCAGTAATAGAGAGAGGGTTTAGTCGTCGTCAGTTCAATCACGGAGGAATAATTCAATTGAATTAATATCAGTTTGTTGATAATTAGGCCTACACCTATGGCTATGCCTAGGATTAACACAGTCAATATCTACCCAGCACCAGCGTCAGTACTCCCGTCCCGCTCGCAACAGGTGAGTTCTCACGTAGCCTATCCAGCTTTAGCCTGGGTTCCAGGCCCTAATTTTAGGTTACTCACTCTTTATTGCACTTAGTGCGCGCCATACCTAATTTAATTGGCGTCCCATACTCGATTTCTTTTTTTTCGAATTAGGGCCTGGGCAAACGATTCATACGTACGATTTCCCACATCAAATTTGTTGATGTGGGATATCGTATCGTATGCATGACTGATTTTGTAAATCACGTGATTGGCTAACTTCATGCATATTAATCAATCTTGGTAAATTTTCAAAATTGAAGATGCGGATGTCTCGACAAGCTAACCAGCTCCCTACGAATACAGATCATTTCGCTCGCTTATTTATGTTTTGTTGTATTTCTAATAAGTAACAACAGGGTACTTAAAAGCAAATAAAATTAATACTATTATTACTAAACTATCAATTAATATTATCGGACGGTTTTTATTTTCGTTTTGTTTTTTATTTTGGTTTTGTTATGAATCCTACGCTTTCTACTACATAACAAATACAGCAAATAAAATAAATACTAAAATATATGATGTTATATATTATTATTATTATTATTATTATTATTATTATTATTATTATTATATTATTTTTAAAATTTACATTGTATCTGGAAAAACCAGCCAATTTGTCATTTAAATTACTGTAACATTAGTTTATTAACAATTATTTTTAATAGTATTAAAGTTTGTTATTGTTACTATATTACTGTATAACTTGGTGCTATTTTTCTTTTTTTTACAGAAACAACACAGATGTTACGAAGTTGACCGAGTTTGAGATACGTTTTTTTGGTTCTTGCTATCACGGAGGAATAATTCAATTGAATTAATATCAGTTATATATTGATATAATTTTTATTAATGCTTGAATCAAATAAAAATCTATGGAATAAGTATAGTCAATAGATTAGTTTCGCATACGTTTTTTTTTTTTCTTGTCTGTTGCGTTTCCACTTACCATAAATGTTCTGATCATGTTATAATAATATTGTAAAGGAAATATGTATTTACATATTTATATTTTCCATATAAAATTATCAATTTTCCGTATAAAATTATCAATACATTGATAATTGCATGCGGTACATTTTAAAAGCCTTTTCATGCTTCTGTTATATTCATAAGCCCGAAAAAATCACTCAACTTGCTAGCCCTTTTTCTTTAGTTGCATAAGTGGAGTATAATTGTGGAAA